GCCTCGCACCGATGACCTATCCATGCCAACATTTACCCAGAATGCTTTGTGTGTAAATAAAATGGCCCCGTCTGTGTGATATATTTTTAAACTTTTAGTTTAAAAATGATAAAAACTAAACAACCTACAGTATTTTTACAGTCTTCATTTTACAGTTAAAATATATGTTTATCAATTAAAGTCTAATGTTACAACTAATCGTGGATCCCTTTAATATGTTCACAAAAATGAGTGTCAGGGTTTGCAGCCAGCAGACCTCACAGAAACAGCACGGGGATATCAGAGCAGAGACAGGAAAGCAAAACAAGCAGCAGCTTCACCATCGTCCTTCACAGCTGCTCTGCTCACCACCAACACTTGATGACCTACAGGGTATGGAAGACGGTGGGGGAGGGGAAGTGGCAAAGCAGCTGAGAAAAGTCAGCGTCAACATAAGCTTGTGACTTTACTCCCCCCTGTCTGCAGCGAGACCAAACGCTTCCATCCACCCAGAGAAAGGAGCAGAAAAAAGCAAAAACAAAATAAAAAACGTTTCGCTGCTCGCTCTGTTGTTCAGGAACCGATGCAGCACGAGATAAGAAAACTGCCCAGCTGACAGGTCGAAATTAGCATCACAAAACTTCKGCTGCAAAGCAGGAAATGTGACAGGAGTGTTCTTCTTAGTTTCTTTTATTTTCCACCAAAACGTTGCTTCAGTTTCACCCGCTCTGCCTGAGTCCCATTAATCAGCTCATAGTCTGCAAAAACCGACTCTTTTCCTCCTCGAGTCAGTCAAAAACATGACATGTGGACAAAAATCGTTCACAGAGAAAAAGATCCAAATCTGGCCTAAAAAATCAGTCTGGGGATGAAAATTCACCTGAATAAAACGTCATACATCACTTCCAAAAAGTACCTTTAAAAATCCATGTTTTCTAGTTTTATTAGAAATACATTTTGTCAACATTTTTGAATTAATACAGTGAATGGTCTAATATGCACTGGAGGTCACATCAGCTCAGGTTTATTGGAACAATAAAGACATACCATGAGGGTTTAAAGAGACGTCGCAGCAGCTAACTGCATATTTGACCATCGATTTTTATTATTTTTGGATTTTTCTTCTTTAAAGACACAAAAATAAAACCTAGTTATGTTATATTCAATTAACAGCTTTAATTGTCAGCAGACTGAAAATAATCTGAAGCCAATTCCTCCTTCAACACGCAGAATTGGTTTAACACACACTGTGATGACGCCGCGACGCACTTCGACAGTATTTGTGCTATCTTTTCAAATTCGGCAAAATGTCTACCTTTCTTTGTTTTTCTTTATTTTTTTTTTTACCTTTTCTGTAAACAACATCTTGTACAAACTAGCACAGTGAACCACAACCCCAGGAAATGAGATTTTCTTCTTTTTTTTAACTTCATACAATATAAATGAAATTAATACAAAAGTTTGGTTGGTTGCTTGTAACATTTTCATGTGGATCAAGAGGTTCTAAAACACGTTTTTTTTGAGACTTCGGTACTCCTGAATTTATTCGATTACGTAAACAGTTGACTGTTCTAAGTCCCGTTTAGAACCCCGGTAAAAGATGTTTTTTTAGAAGGTAGACTTCATTCAACTATTCAAGTTCATTTCCRTTTTAAATAAAGGGTTTGCAATCCACAGAGGGTTTACCTTTTGAAGGCGGCCTTCCTCTGGTTCAGTGGAAACACAGTCCGTGTGGAGGACAAACCTGTCCTTTCCTCTGGCCGTCAGCAACGTCTCGTGAAAAAGGTTAAGTGTCAGTATGGCAAAGCCTCGATAGGCAAAGAGGTCTGAGGAGCTTCTGGATAAATAAGATGTGCCTCTGACAGTCCCAACGCCGCTCAGCCTTCCTACACAACCGTCTCTGTAAAGCTATTCAAGTCTTTGACAGCAMATCAAGTTCTCGTTTAGGATCTAACAGGAGTTTTTTTATTATTATCATTTTTGAAGCGTGTGTTACGGGGTTTGATCGCGAAGGGCCACTGATGAGAATCAGCAGAAGTAACAGGGGGTCCCACGGGTCCAAATAAAGAGTGGCGTGTGGGCGGTGATCCGTCTCACTTAGTTCGGTTTCTGTTTCTGAAGCTGAGTGTAGCGTGGGTGAAAGAAGAGATTAAAACACCCTCACACAGGACTAAACACAATGGTTTATACCAGGGCTATTCAACTGAACTGCTCCGGGGGCCACAGTTACTGCAGACCAACAGCTCAGGGGCCGAACACCCAGTTATTAAAGTTGTTATGTAAATAAACTAAGTATTACAAAGATCTGTTACCTTTGAAATAGTTTATTTTGCTGCATTTAATCATGAAAACATACAGAACCCTATTTAATAAATGTAGTGATGATAAAACAAAAAAAGGAAACATATTATGCTAACACATTCTCACTCCCGACTCGTCAACATATTGGCGCTTTTCCAAAGTTCCCTCTGCGTCTTATTTTGACGCATCAGGTGACCCCCCCCCGCGTCAGTCTTTGCCGCCCGCAGCTTTTCCGGGTTGTACCACCAGGGGTCTTTGGGTCGGAGGTCTGAGGTTAACATGAGGGATCAGACTAAAGGGTTAAGTTTAGGGACTGGGGGTCAGGGATTGGATGTCTACAGTGAATATTAGGTAATTTTAGCCTTTGGAACACATGGTTGATGTGAATTTCCTTCATTTTCTAAAAATGGTTAATTTTAGGTACTAGGGTCAGAGACAGGATGTCTAAAGTGAATAAAGGTAATTTTAGGCTTTGTGACGTTAGTTTTTGTGCATTTTCTACACTTTCAGAAATTATGACAACAGATTCCGCCCCATCTCGTCAAAAAATGACGCAAGGGGAGTACCGGACGTGTCAAAACTGGACGCAGAGGGAACTTTGGAAAAGCGTCAATATGTGACGACTCGGGAGTGAGAATGGGTTGATTCTGCCTCTTATTTACCACAAAACATTTTGACATCTCTGATTTGCCAATTTTTTAAACCAATTTTGTTTTCACTTTCATAGTTTTATCTTCAACTGCTTGTAGTGTTAATTGTCTTGGATGTTCATAGAAATGTTTTTTACCAGTTTGTAGCCAAGATTCTGACGTTTCTGTAGACACCAAACATGTCTGTGTTTACCTAAAATAACAGAGTCATTAAAGCAGAAAACCGGGTTTTGGGCTTAAGAGATGAATGAACCGATTGGCGGGCCGAACTTTGGTCACTCGCGGGCTGGATGTGGCCGGTGGGCCGCTAGTTGAATAGCCGTGGTTTATATGTTGAGTCAGCTTTCAAAACAGATGAAGATAATGAGTAAATGAAAAAATAAATAAATTAATAAATTTAGAATAAAAAAAACAACAATAACAAATGTCTGTGATGTCGCCCCTAACCCTGTCGTTTTACTCGTCCCCCCATTTTGGACTCCAGCAGCACCCGTCTTCAGTCCCCCCGGCTTCAGTCCCCCCGGCCCAGTCGAGTCGGGTCCGTTGGAGAGCTACCACACGGTGCCCTCGTTCATTTCCGAGGGTTGGTGGGACAGGTGGTTGTTGTATCCGCTGCCGTTCAGCGACAGTGAGGTAAAAGGCGGGCTGGGGCCGAACACTTCAGACGAGATGCTGTGCAAAGGCCCCGGGATGCCGGGCTCCGGGCTGGGAGAGTCCCCGGGGTGATGGGACATGATGTCGGAGAAGCGTTGGACCTCGCTGGAAGGGTGGTGGCCCGGCAGGGGGTGGTCCATACCTCCGAGGGGGGTGCCTGTGGGGCCGGAGGAGGGCACGAAGGGGAGGTCGACTGGGGTCTGGGCCTGTGACGATGGGGGTCCCTGAGGGAAAAAGTCATAGTTCCCTCCCGGGCCGTAATATTCGCTCTGATAATCTGCAAGAGAAGAAGGRAAAAAAAAAACAGTGTTCAGTTTGAGCTGCTGAGGAATTTATTGAATATACATCACTTGATTTGTGTTAAAGAAAGAGGGAGAGACCCTCGCTGCGCTGCATTAGTCACAGCCAACGTTACACTTAAATCAAAACTGCAATTGGGTGGGGAGAACAACGTGGTCGCAAATTAATTAAAATTGGGGCAATTTCATCAACGACGGCTGAGACTTTGTGCAGCGCAGCCGAATACTGGGAGGCTTCAGCAGGCAGGACACGCTCCGACGGCACAAACACAATTCTCTTTAAATCATCCCAACATTTGGAATAAATCAAGCTACACTTTTATATGATGTTAGTCGTTTACAAAAACCTGCGCACAATTTCACCCAAATAAAATAAGAATTTAGACTAAATAAAAACACAAATCCTGAACATCCATCCTGATTATTACAGCTGATAAATAAAAGAATCAAATGTGAGCCGTCACATCGAAACAAGGATTAATTCTAAAAGTGACGTATGGAGAAAAAGGCAAATATAGTGTTTTGACTTAAATGGTAACAAAAATTTATTTTGTAAAAAAT